GGACTTCCCCGTATTAAGTCAGTAAAGAGGTTAGAATTAAAACTTTATATATTATATTCTATTTGTAAGAAAATTTTGTAATTAGCTTTTTTGTTCGTTTTATGTGTATGTTTTCGAAGTAAAACTAGTGATTCAATGAGTTTGAAAGCAAAATATATAGTAAAATGACTAATTCAAATCTAAAAATTTGTATTGGAACATTTCCTTGATAAAGCATGAGGATAGCAAAACATATAGGAAATTTGGTTTTCGAAGAATCCAGTGCATTATAATTGTTCAGCTCACTTCCATTTCGAGTGAAAGTGTTTGATGAAGAGATTCGGCGGTCGATCTCACCAGAAAGCGATGGCTGATTGCTCTTGACCAGCTGTTAATTGACTTTACTGGAATACTCATTTTGACGCTGTTTCAGAGGTAATCCCCTTCGATTCCGATGAAGGCGTGCCTAGCTTTCGTACTTCATATGACGGGCATCATCAGAGCATGGTATTATTCTTATAGCCACATTCATCCACTGATTCCACATAGCTCGGACGAAAGCGTAGCATATGCAGAGAAACTGGTTTTCGAGGAATCCATTAACAAATTCATGTTGGAGTACCTTTCATTTCGTTTTAAGAGGTGAGTGGGAGAGTTTCGTAAGTCAGCTTCACCGGAAGCTATTGGGGCATTGCCTTGGAGCAGTGTTTGTAAATTTGTGTGAATAGGTCCTCGGAGCATCGCATAACACATGTGAAATTGAATGCAATCAAATGCTGGATCATTGCAGGATCAAAAAAAAGGGTTTTAGAAGAGGATGCAGCTGTTTGGTCACAATTGTATCCACTTCACATGACAGCGGCAGCTACTTTACTTTTCCTGTCTTTGTGCTTGGTGAATTTTCGTACAGCATGGTCGGAGTGTCAGGAAGACCTTGTGGAACGTACCTAGTCCCGTATCCTCTGCCACAACTTGTCACTTTGATAAGTCGTAACTCTGTGCTTACGATGGCGCATCTTACTGATGATGCCGATGAGACGTTTGGAAATGTATCCAGCTAATGGACAAATGCTGGAAATCACGAATACTATGGCAGAGGACACGTGACTAGGTACGTTCCACAAGGTCGAACCAACACAATAAAGCTAAAGGAGACTGCGATAAAACAGGTCACACCATCTTGGTGTTCATATCTACGATATATGGTTCAGCATGATGACCTGCTCTGACGATGCCCGCCACATGACGGATGAGAGCTCAACATGGATTCATCGAGGTCGCAAGGCGGCGCACTGGAGACCTATTCGCACAAATCTACAATCTCAACTCCAAGACAATCCCCTACAGCTTCTGGTGAGGCCAACCTACGAATTCTTTCCATTTGCTTCTCCAAATGAAACGAAAGATACTCCAACATAAAAGTTTAGTATGTTTTCACCGGAATAAATGGAGATTGCTTCGGAAATAGCGTCAACAGTAATGCAGATCGGCAGTTGGCCAAGAGGAGTCCACCGTCGTCTGGTGCTGGGATCGATCATCGAATCTCTTCATTAAACAACGGAAATGGATTAATCTATTATAAAAATAATTTTATGCTGAGCACTCTAATATTGTTGCTTTTTTAAACCAATGCAGGTTTTTTACTCTAGCTGTTAGATTTTGGCTTATATATCTTTTCCTGCCATGTTTGCCTGATATTTAATGCCACGAAATGCACCATGCCTACGAGTAAATAGGCGGCAATAATATTAGTATCTTCTTTAATATATTCCTATTTAGGTCACTAATTCGACTATTCATTGTCAAATTGTCTTCAATATTAAGCCTTGTACAAAGAAGTGTTCGGATATATCTTTAAAAAATCACTATGACTGTCAAGGGGTCTTATGGTTAGAAAAGTCAGTAGAGGCCTTTTAGTTAGCTTATCATACTTTGTTTTATATTTTGCCCATTTAATCAATGCCATCAAATTGTTTCATAAGCAAGTGTTTAACTTTGTCCTTTTTTGTCATGCTTCTGGAATTTTTTCGGCACAGGTCTCATTAAAATTTCATAATTATGTAATTTTAAATAACATTCTTGATGTTGAAAGAGTTAATTTTACTCGATGACCTGTTTTTTGTCATATTTAGTCCAAGCCTTTTTTATAGGTTTTCGGTAACAAATTTCTTACTAAAGCGGTCAAAACAATATGATTTTGTGGAATTTTTTGGCAACTTATCTCTAGTATTTTTTCACCGAAAGGGAACCAATATTTTAAAAGCTCCCAGTTAAGTTTAATGTTGACTCGTTGAGATGGCAAACGATGTATTTGAATCAGAAATACAAACTACTTTGCTTTGGCTATAATCAGGTTCTATTATGCTATTATTATTGTTTATTTCACTCAGAAACGATAATCATTTATTTATATTCAGTTTACATCCGCTGTCCAACCAAATAATATTACTACACCTTCCGGAGTCACCTTTGGAAAACCTGGACCTTCATCCTTGGCAGAATTACTAAGGGCCATCGAACGCGCCAAGCGATCAGTCTCTTCATCTGCCAAAGCTGCTAATCAGCTTTTGACATCCAAAGATGTTGCCCCCTCCTCTACTTCAACTATGAATCCCACCGCTACCACTGCCTTCTCCACTTTAACAGCATCCGCTTCAGATTCTCCCATAAATGAATCTTTTGTTGCTGTTCTCGGATTAACTTTCGATGCCTATGTGCAGTTCATGGATTACACAGCCTTCGCTAGAGCCATGCAGGCACTAGGGGGCATGAAACTGGTCTACGCCCCCAGGATGCGCGAAGCAGATACAGGCTGTGTGTAATTTCATAAAAAGTCTGGTTTTCTAAGAATCCCTTAATAAATCCATGTTAGAATATCTTGCATTTCGTCTGAAGAGGCTAGGGGATGGGATTCGTAAGTTGGCCTCACTGTAAGCTGTAGAGGATTGCCTTGGAGCTGTTATTGTAGATTTGTGCAAATAGGTCTTCGGCACACCGCCCTGCGATCCCGATGAATCCTTGCTGAGCTTTCGTCCGTCCTGTGACGGACATCATGCTTAACGGAAATTCACCAAGCACAAAGACAAGAGGGGTGGCCGGCTGCAATCTTACCTACTTTTTATCGTTTAGCTAGGTCCACTTAGTGAGATGTCCCATGATTTGGTTGGAGGTCCCATGTTTTTCTTACATGTTGTTAAAAAGTGAAGTAGCTGCAGATGAAATGTGAAACGGATGCAATTATGATCGAACAGCTGTATCCTCTCCTAAAACATTATTTCTATTTTGTTAGATTCTGCAGTGGTACAACATGTGATTGTGCTCCATCACACGTGTTATTTGCATGCAATGCT